GGTTAAGAAGATAAAAGGTATATAGTTAAACTTAAATCAACTTTAAGTATATATTGAAATTAGTTAATAAAGGTATTTTTAATAATTTAGTTATTATTTTAAAGAGAGTATAAATCAAAATAAAAAAAGATATTATAACTTTTATTATATTTTACTTAGTTATATTAAGATAATTTTTTTATATAATTATTTTACTATTTAGCTATATATAATTAATTAAATTTTATAATAAAAAATTAATTTTATTTTCTTTATTTATAATTTTAATTATATTTTAAAAGTAATAAAATACTAATAATAATAGATTTTTTATTAATCTATTTATAGGTATTTACTTTATTAGAAGATACTTAATTTTAAAAGATCTTCTCTAATATTCTTAATATAACTAAAGATATTAAATATTAATATATCTTAGCTTAGTATTAATTTATTAATTTTTATTTATAATAAGTTAAATTATTTACTTATTATTATAAAAGAGCTTATAAAGAAATTATAATTAGATATATATTTTATTTAGTAGTCTTTTAAAAGCTATTATTTTTATAATTATAGTAATTACTAATAGATATCTAGAAGTAAAGGTATAGGTAGAAGATATAGAAGAAAAAGAATATATTATTAACCTTATTATTCTATTTCTAATTAAGAGGAATTCTAGCTTATTTATAAAGAAAAAAAGATAAATATAATAACTTAAAAAAAACTCTAAAGAGTTCTAAACTATCTTAAAGATCTACTTTAGTAGGTCTAGCTAGTTAATTATTATATAACTACTAATATAGCCTCTTTTATTAGTTTTTATTTTCTTTTATTAACTCTAGTAACTTTATAAGGTAGATTTAGTTAATATTAATATTCTAATAGTTATAAAAGGCCTTTATAAGATAACCTACTTTTAATACCCCTTAGCTAAAGCTAATCTTTTAAGTCTTTTTAATAGAATTAAGTATTATATAGTATAATATATATCCTTTAGTAATATTATAGGCTTATATAAATACTATTAAAGTAGTTAATAATAATAACTTTATATAGTTAAAGGAAATTTAAGGTATAAGATAGCTATCTTAAATTTATAATATAGGGTAATTACCTTATACCTACTATTAATTAGCTACTTATTATAATATAATTAGTAGCATAATAATCTTCGCGACTAAGAAACGGTATACGCCTGCACTGCGCCTAAACCGGCGATAAAATTAAAAAAGAATATATCTAACGTTAAATTACACCTAAATTTACCCCTAGACAATAGCAGCCTAGAGCCGTAGCGGCAGGGGCAGACGTAGTAGCGGAAACACTACTAGGGACACATCTAGACACGTCCCTCTAATAAAGATATACTATAATAAGCCTAAGGTAGACATAACCTAATAATAACTATAAACTAAAAGAGAACTAATTAATAAGCTCTTCTTCTTAATTAAAAATAACTATAAAAATAAGGTAAAGAAGATCTAGTAAAAGTACCTCTAAACCTAGGCCTAGGTAGAGGCTTATATAACTTTAATAAATATATTAATAATATAAGAATTAGTTTAGACTATTATATAGGAAATTATTATATAAATATTTAAATAAAGTTAAAA